TGAGACCTGGGCAAACATTGTCCTTAGGCTCCACCAGCCAGGTAGGAGCAGCCTGTGGAACACTGGTTCTTTGTGCTGAATTGGTGCTCAGAGGTGCAGGTGGCTGGTTCCTTTGTTTCAGCAAAAAGGTGCCAGCTAACATGTTTGGAAAAAGAAACTGTTTGGAATAATGCACTTTCTGCTGAAATTTATTACATCGTGCTAATTAAAGTTTTTACTAAGGACAGGAATGCACATGTGCTTTGTGGGCTGCTGTTGGAAGAGCTGTAGCCTGCAAGTGTTTGTGTTAGGTTCCGAAGTAGGAAAAAAAAAGCCTAACAGGTTCTGAGACTGAAATCTGATCTGCATTTTAAAACTGGATTTGAACTTTTTTCAAAACAGGGTTGGCATTAAAGTGCCCTGGTTTCAGCCTAGGACCTGAAATGAAAATACTTGAAAGCAGCCATACGGAACCATTTCTTTTAAACTCAGCTCACTTAGAATATTTACCATGCGAAGCAACAGAGCAGTGATGACCCCAGGCAATGAAACAGCAACTGGAATCTTAGTCGTTTGAGCATGAAGCTACCTTGGACCAACACCCTTCACCTAGGGAATTTTCTAAACTCAGAATTTTCATCCAGTAGTAAGACAGAAATGTTATATTGCTTACTGTGCTATTAATATCATGACCTCTTAGTTTATTGATCGTATGCAGTTGCATGAGATTTGCTGAAACAAAAAACAGAGTGCTGACTTGAAGGGTATTATGTAGGAAATGATTAATGCATTCCGGCTGAGGGCTACTGCAAGACTGTTCAACCCAATCAGTCATGCTTTCATGATTTTGGCCAACTCCAATTATCATCTGTCGTCACCTACTATTTTTCTAGTTGATTTGTCTTTTAAGTAAGTTTTTATTTGTCCTGAGCAATAACATTTGTGAAATCAAAGTAAATTTCATTTACTGGTTATATTTTCCTAATACTTTCCGTAAGTGTTCAAATAAAAAACAATCATTTATGTTTCATCTAAAACCATCTGAGGTACCAAGTCATCCAGGTACTCTTGGGAAACAGGATGCAAAAGATGCTTAGGTCCTACCCTCACAGGGTTTACATTTTACCTCGGGAAATCAAATATCTGTGTACGAAACAATAAAGACAGGCCAGGAGGCCTTAAGCTGTTGGTGGGAGGGAAAACTCATCAAACTTTTTTAGAAAGTGAATTTGTAGCAGTAACATTAAATTTATTTATATGCTTTGATCCAGTAATTCCACTTCTGTGAACTAGCCCTTGTGTATTAAAAAAATGGGGGCCATCTTGAAGATCAAAATTAAGGGAATGATTATATTATGACATTTCTATATCATTGAATGCTACAAGGTCATTAAAATCATCTTTAGGAAAATCTTTTAAGGGTGTGGGGAAATATCTGTAATATAATGCCATGTATGTATGTAAAACAAGATACAATATGATCTCAACTATGCAAAACAGAATCCTTAGAAGATGAGGAATTTGACAAAATTAAACAGTATATTTTTTTTCGTAATTTTCATTCTTTCAATCTACATGTTTATTTTCTCAGCTTTTATAATTATATAATTACATATAATATAAATATGATAATTTATCAAAATAACCATACCTTCATAATTAGGAAATAAATATTTTAAAAGAACAAATACACAAGTAATTAGCACAGGCTAATTAAAATCTTATTGCAGTTCAGGGAGGATTTCATGGGAAAAGAGAGGCTGAGACTGGGAAACTATAAAATATTACAAAGGAAACAAAAGTTGACTTGGTAACTACCAGTGTATGGAATAAGTGTCTATTTCAGTGAAAATTCTTGATTTTCATATTGAGATTACACAGTTGAACAACAGAAGGAAATGTAGTGGTTCAGGATGAGAAGTTACCATTGCTGGTCATGGTACAAATGAGATCAACATAAATCAATTTAGAACAGACCTAGGAGCTCCATGAAGGTGGAAGAAAGCTGTTCTAGAGAAACTGAGGGTTCAAGAACCAGGAGGAACCTGGAGAATAAAGAGAAACACATGTGTACAAATGGTGGGGACTGGGAAGACTAAGAATACCCTTAAGAGCAGACAAGAGTTAGGGAGGGCCCAGGGGCTTCTCTATGACATCTGTCTTGAGGTGTTGTCAGGAAAGAGAGGTCCTAGTTCATGGAGATGCCAGTGAGTGCAGACAGCAGACTGTGGGCTGCTGCTTGGGTTACCTGGTACCTGTTTAGAGTATAATCTGATCCTAAGGGTAAGTCTAAAGGTTTGAGTGAGAAAGCCACGTACTGGGGTGGGGTGGGGGGGCGGTGGCGGGAGATGGGAACCACGATTTCTTGAGCTGAACTGAGTCACGCAGAGTTGAATAACAGGAAAACATGTACACGGGTTCATACATTCTTCTCTTATGCTGTGTACTTTTTCTTCTTGGAATTTCCCTTCCAGTGTGGTAAATTTGTTTTCCTGGTTGGTTAAACTTAAAGCTGCACAGAAGGCATATATGCAAAAAGGAACACTGATGTAGACCCAGGCTCTTGCTTAGAGACATCTCTCTTCCTTCTGTAATTTTCTTTGGGAGGAGGCAAATGTGGTAGGGGGACCTTCTTGTGGCTGTCCTGGGCTCTCACCCTGTTCTTCACCTCTGTCACTCTTGTGAGCCTCTTAACCTTTAATCACAACCTCTCCCATCTTCTCCATCATCTATCTACCTTGAATCTCACTTGCCTCCTGCTTTTCTGGCAGATCACTCACATCCTTTTGTCATCTTTTTCTTCTTCCCAAACTGTCACCTTTCAGGTCCTCTGAAAGATGCCTATCCTGTCACCATGTCCATCTCTTACGCCTCTCTAGGGCCTTTCTATCCCTTTTACCTTTTATTGTGAATGTTACCTTCTCTGACCTTCATTGTCAGTCATCTGTACTTAATATTTTTAAAAATAAATTTCTCCGTTTTTCATTACAATTTCCCATCTCCTCAACTCCCCTCTTCTCCTTGTATCTCCATCAACACTTCAGGTACCTTAACATCCAAAAGTGGTGTCTTATATATACATCTATTATATTACCTGCTATGTAACTGCTCTTCCTCTGTTCAGTCTCCACATTCATTCTGCCCACTTTTCACTCAATGTACTTCTGCCTTGCCTTCTTGTTTCCTACTTTCCCCACTTCATTTCACTCTTTTCTAACCTTGGACCTCGAATCTTTTCTATATACACTTACTTCCTCGGTGATCTTACTCAGTCTCACATGTAACATGTCCAGGACTGAACTCTCAATCTTCTACCCCAAATCTGCCCCTCCGTAGTCTTTATAATATCACAAAGTGTTAACTCCATTCTTCTAGACCAAAATCCTTGGAATCATCCCTGATTATTCTCTTTCTCTTACACCTCACTTCTAACCCTTCAGGAAATCCTATTGTCCCTTCCTTCAAAATATATACAGAATCTGACCATTTTTTCCCTACCTCCACTGCTGCCACCTTGGTCCAAGCCACCACCGGTTCCACCCTGGACTATCAGCTTCTTGACAATTTCTGTGCTTCCACTCTTGTCCCCTCTTTAGTCTGCTCTTAATGCAGCTGCCAGACTGATCTTGTCTTGCATGTACTCAATATCCTTCAATGGCTTCTCATCTTATAAGCAGGAAAGATGAAGTCTCATAACGGCCTATGAGACCCTACATATTCTGGCCCCATTATGTCTCTGGCCTCACTTTCTCCTACTTCACTTGCCCACACTGGCTTCCTCCACCCATAGGCATGCACCTGCCTCAGGGCTGTGAACCTGCTGTTCCCTTTGCCTGGAATGCTCCCGGCCGGATACCTGCGCAGCTTGCTAGCTCACCTCCCTCAAGATGTTCCCCAAATGCTACCTCCTCACCAAGGCCTTCCCTGGCCATCTTATACGAAGTCATAATGCCCCTGTTCTCCATCCACAGCTTTCATTATGCCCTTTTGGCTTTATTTTTATTCTTCAAACCTTTCAGCATCTAATAGTGCATATTGTTACTCATTTATCTTACATATTGACTGTATCCCCCTTTTAGGAGGCAACCCCATGAGGGTAAGGGTTTTGTTTGACACACTGCTGAATGTTCAGGGTCCACAAGACTATCTGTCCACAGGGAGCAGTTAATAAGTATATGAGGAATGAATAAGTGAATCCTCTATCTTTTACTTCATGTCTTCTTCCCACCTCTTATATTTCCTGCTTATCCTCCAGCTGTGGCTTTATTTCTATTTTTGACCATGTTTGTTCCTTCTGCTTTCCTATTGCCCAATCCTGCATCATTTATATCTACTTCTCTCTATCATTTATTTGGCTGTGTTTCTCTTCCCCATAAGATATGGGTCAAGTTCCGGTGTCATTTGGTTTTTTATGTCATTTGGTTTTTTTTGTTAACAATCCATCTTTCCCCTCCTCAGCTTCTGCCCTAGCTTAGCCAACTTCAGTTCTCATCTTTACTCTTATAGTTTTCCAATCTCTGCTCTATTATTCCCAAACCAACATGAGATGTTATTTGCTGTGTATAAGAAAACAGCTGTGGATGTTGGCCATATAGTGCATAACCTAATGTCAAGAGAGAAACAATAAAAATGAAGTGTGTCTTGAGGAGGAAGGGAGGGAGAAGGGAGGACAGGAAAGCCTGTTTTGGCACCTGAGCTAATTCTTTGGACATATTATTTATGAGGAGCCTTAGACCCTTTACTTAACGCTGCTCCTGAGAATTTGCCAACTATTAAAATATAAATTTGGCTTTTAGTGAAATTAGACCACAATTTATGAAATATGAGTGATTGTTCCATGAAAGGCTGTGGTTTGGCAGTCTGTAGGAACACATTTACTCAACCTCTTATTCAATGTCTCAATTGGTGATTCATATTATTGATCTTGTGGATCATATATTTTGCTTAGAATTACATAGTGCTGGGGTATAATCCACAAATGATGGTGAGTAGAATAACATATAATACAGCTGTATAGTTACCTGGTAATGAATGTCCTCTCATTAATGAAGATCCAAGAAGAGCACTGGTGAGCCATCATAGCCAACTTTGCCCCCTTTTTGAGATCATCTGAGGATACCCTAAAATATTAGAATAATATTAATGGTTGTTCTTGTGATGTATTCATAAATTAGTTTCTGACTTAAATTGAAATTTTTTGTTGTGTGTAAAAGTATTTTGGGGGAGTTTTTAAGTAGTGTTTTTTGTATGGGCGTGAGGGTGGGGTTGGGGAGGGAAAGAAAAAAAAGGATATTTTTTTTACCACGTGCCTGCTATGGATCTTACACATGAGCCATTTTATAGGCATTGTCTCATTTAATCCTCAGACCATCCTAGCAATGTAGGGGTGTTATTAGCTCCATTTCAAACACTTAGTGAGTAGTGGAACAGATAATTTGAAGCAAGGTTGGAATGTCTTCAAGGCCTCTACTTTTTTCTTTTCACCAACATTGTTTTTGCAGTTTGGAAAGGGCTATACAGATTAAAATTTTTTGATTTTCTATAAATTGGTCCATTCCAAGATTCTTTTCAAAGAATTTTTCTGTCTAAGGGAATTAATATTGAGGATAAGTGAGATGTTCTCCAAAATCTTCAATTGTAAGAAAAGAAGCTTAGAGTTCAGAATTTTAACTACAACTCACTTTGAGTGAGTTTCTAAATGGCATCCTCTAAACGTCCTTTTCATGATTGTTCACAAGATAATTTGTTTTGAGCACAAGAAATAACGTGCTGTTTTCTCTGTTTCCTCTTCCCCCCTCCTTTAAAAGTTTTAAGATGTTCAGATGTTTTACTCTGTTCTTATTACTCAATATGTGCTTTTGAGAAAAATCTATTTTATTTCTCTTGATATGTTTTCCATTTTAAATTGAAAATTATATTCTTCATATAATTTAGGGAAAATAAATAGTAAAGGAAGAGAAACATATAATTTTGACAATTTCTAAAGAAAGATGATAAAGAGGCATAAGAAGAAATACTAGATGAGCCAGAAACATGTAACTTGACATGTGATCTTCCTCTATGTAATCAATCTGAGAGACTGACAACTGTGGGATACACAGACAGAGAGACAGAGAGGCAGACAAGGGTGGAGCAATATTCCTAAGCAAGTGCAATACAAACCACAATGTTGGCCCATGATAAATGCTAATGATTTGCAAATGTGCAGTGAAATCTTGGATCAAACTTGTGCTGAAAATCACTTTACAGTTGATGGCTATATTAGCTCCGTTCCTGGTAATGAATGTATCCAGTATGTCTAAATTTGGCATAACTCCTATTATAAGGAATCCTATTTCTTTTCTTTTTTTTTTTTTTTTGGTAAAGAAGATTGGCTCTGAGCTAACATCTGTTGCCAATCTTCCTCTTTTTTTCTTTTTTGCTTGAGGAGGATTGTCCCTGAGCTAACATTTGTGCCAGTCTTCCTCTGTCTTATACGTGGGACACCACCACAGCATGGCTTGATGAGTGATGTGTAGGTCCATGCCTGGGATCTGAACCCGTGAACCCCGGGCTGCTGAAGCAGAGCACATGAACTTAACCAGTACCACTGGGCCAGATCCAGGTATCCTATTTCTGAATCTGTAGTTTTTGATTTGGAATATACTCTAAGGATTTTTTTCATTTTTCAGTTTATCTACAGTTCTGATACAACCAGATTTTAGTGATTTAAAAGTTATCCTCCTGTTCCATCTCTCCATATACACACAGGTGTGTGTGGCGTGGTTGAGGCTGCTGTTTGCTGGTGCTGAGCTTAGGTTTTTTTTGTGCTGAGGAAGATCCGCCCTGAGCTAACATCTGTGCCAATCTTCCTCTGTTTTGTATGTGGGTCACCGCCTCAGCATGGCCGATGAGTGGTGGAGGTCCACTCCCAGGACCCGAACCCACGAACCTGGGCCGCCAAAGCAGAGCGCACCAACCCAACCGCCAGGCCAGAGGGCTGGCCCCATGAGCTTATTTTTTATTGAGAAATATCAAAAGGAAAAAAGAGAAGCTACATGAGGAATTCTGTCTGGCTAGAATAATGTTTCTAAAGCCTTGCGAGTTTTATATTGTATAGTAAAATTTCCAGAAATTTATGAAAAAAAACTGAGATGTCTTGCTGTTATTATATTTTAAATAAAATTTCCAGAGACTTGTCCAAAAAAATTCAGTCAGTTTTGAACTTCAGCTTACTTAGCAGCTCAATGTTATCTTCTTTAAGAAGATATTAAATTCCCAAAGGCTTCTAGATCCAAAAAGAGGCATTTCGCAATCACTGAAATTTTTTTGGCAACATGGGAATACAAAATAGCTGAAGTAGAAAACAAATCTTAGGGCAATCTTTGGAGGCATGCAGAAAAGAGGAAAATGTACTATGTAAACTCAAAAACAACAGGATCAGTGGCCCAAGGCAAGTAAGGTTTGGCCAGTGTGGTAAGTCTCTTTTTGGAATGTTTCTAGAAAAAATTCTCTCCTGTATGATTCTGCGCAAGGGAACATATTTCTTCTATTACAGCCACTCAACTCAAACTGGCTGAACCCTGCCCCAGTCCTGCAAACACAATTTTAAGTTTCCAGGTAGCTAAAATCAAGCTTGGACTCGCAGGGTTGATTAAGTATGACGTACATCCTTCAAGTCTCCTTCAGGCTCTGGAAACTGTGGTCAGACATGAATAAAATCCTCCTTTATGTCTTCATATAAATGGCATTAGGGTGTGACCAGAGATTTTAAGTATAATATTTTCTAGTCATTCCATTTTGCAGAAGGTAAATATTTAATTACCATTGCTTGAGATCCCCTCATCATATGGGATATAGCCAGAATAAAAAGGTAAGAGAGAAAAGCTCAATTTTTTATTTAAAAAAAGAGAGGGAGGGATTTCCGCCTTTTCCTTCTGAATCAGATGAGGATAAAGTGTGTAGAAGATGTCCTGTCCTCTTTTTTCAGGAGAATATCAGTCCAAATAAAAAAAAAAAAAGCAAAGAAAAAAGAAAAGAAAAGCTATTCTCACAAAATCCCTGATGCATATTTTTGCTTTTATCACATTGTTAGTTTGAAATTACATAATCTATTTGAAAGCTATGAGCACACCTCACCAGACATATTGTTATAGTTTTTAAGCTGAATGCTTGACTACTTTTCTTTTATGATTTTACCATTCTGATCCTCACATCATCTCCTTGTTCATAGACCTTCCTGGGATCGCATTCTTAGCAAAAACAGCCCTAGTCCCTTAACCTGACATCCAGGCTTTCTGCAATTCCACTCAAACCTACCTTTACAAACTCAAAATTGAAGCTTTCTTTAACACCAGGCCTTCTAGTCTAATGGCATGTCACACCATTGAGTCTCTTCTCACCAGCTCCCTAGCACATGAGGGCCCTCATCACTGCAGGGCCAGATCTTTGCTTCCTTCTAGTCCCTGCTCAAGTGGGTCCTTATCAAGTCTCCCCAAAGCCTTTTATCTACACTGCTGTGGTGCCATTTTCTGCTTTCCACCTTGTATTGTCATTACTGATTTATGCCTTATCTCCTTTCCTACTCCTATCCTCCTGCTCAAAGAATGGCTCTCCTCTAGTTGGGAATGTCAGTCTTTTTGATAGCACATCCTTGGGAGGAGGGTCTCATGAAGGACTCATGTTGAAAGACACAGCAGCTTAGCAAACCAGGCAGATTAACTCTGTAGGTCAGAAGCTACATGGCCACTTTAGGCTGTGTTGGGACTGAGACACAGCATGCTCCATGAGCCTGACAAATCCCAGTTACTCATTCGCAGATTTGGTCTGGGCTGTTTGGTTATATGGCCTTTGCCCTTGCTTCTAAAACCCGAGTTTTGCCCCTAGATTTTGTCATTCTAATCAACCACAAAAAGGGTTAGTGACGCACCCTAGTGAGACTCCCCCAGTAGTCTCCTTGCTGCCCAAGCACAGCCTTCTCCCTCCTGGATCCAGATTATTTACATCTATTCTTTTAATTTACCCCTCCCTGTACCTGTCCTCCCACATTCCAATGGCCTGTATCTTGTGAACTGTTCGTTTTCTCTCCTCATTTTCTCTGCTTTTAGCAGCATTTGACAAGGTTGATTGTTCTTTCCTTTTGAAACACTTTCTTCTTGAGGCTTTTGAGACACAGCAGCAACCACAACAACCTCGCCTTATTTTCATGCTGTCTCATAAGCTTCAGCTTTTTAGCCTCCTCTGCTGAATCCTCCTCTATATGATCATGAAATGCTGTCTTGTTCTAATAGTCTGTCCCCAGCAATCCTTTCTCCTCTATCTACACTTTCTTCCAGGTAATCTAATCCATGTCCAGCCCAGCCTCTCTGCTGAGCTCCATACTCACATCGTTACCTCCTTAATCTCTACTTGGATGTCTAAGAGGCATCTCAATATCAACATGGTCAAAACAGAGCCACTGGCTTTCTCCCATGCTCCAGAATTCCCTCTTCCACAATTCTTTCCTGTCTACTCAATTAGGCACCAAAACTAAAACTCAATCTTATTTTTTCCTCTTTCATCATAGCCAGATTCCAATTGCTTCTATTGATTGCACCTCCAACATATAACCTGAACTCAAAAGCTTCTATTCCCAATGCTACCACCCCGAGCCAAGCCACCATCATCCTTCTTCTGGATTATTGCATCAGCCTCCTGACTAGTTTCCCTATATCTGCATTGTGACCAAAATTCCATTCTCCGTATGGCATCTAGGATGATAAGTTTAAAGATCTAATCAGATCTTGTCATCCTATGACTGAAACCTTGCAAAGCCTTCCAAGAATGAGCTAGAATAAAGTGTAACCTCCTTATGATGACCCACAAGATCCTGTCTAGCTCTTCAGTATTCACTTCCTTCATTATTTGCCCCATTGATTGCACTTCATTGGCCTTCTTTCTGGTTTTCAGTCACTCCCTAAGCTCATTCCTATTGTCTCAGGGGTTTATACTTGCTGCTTCTCCTTCCTGAGGCACCCTTACCTCAGACTGTCACCTGACCACCTGCTTCCCATCATGCAAATCTCAGTCCAAGTGTTTCTTGTCTCTGAGGCCTTCCCAACCAAGTCTCGGTCAGCCACTCACATTAATTTCATCTACGTAA